CCCCAAAACCCCAAAACCCCAAAACCCCAAAACCCCGCGTTGCCTATTTAATCAATTTTTTGTTCATATAATTTAAATTTTACAACATGAGTAGTATAAACTACAGGAATAGCACTTGATTTGAAGATGGTGTTGGGCGTAAGTGAAAATTTAATATCTTCCTGTAAAATTTCAGGTTTGAACTGGACAATTAAACATTTGCCTATCAACCAAGAGTTAGCAAAATGATTGATGAATCTAAATTATTCTTGATATTATGAATAGTGATTCTCTAGCCAAAAATTGATCAAATAATTACTTCTGTATAGACCTTCTAAATTTTGAAAACTTCAAGAACGCAGTTTGTCGGAGAAAAATGAGAGTCTCAAGACTCAACAATGTGTCTACAAAGGTTGTAGGCATCCTGCCCATTGATCAGCCTTGCTATAAAAGTAAGCAAGAGGGTCTCTCCTCAACTTTTTTCTTTATAATGATTACTGGAATTCTTAATTCACCAATAATTTCTGTGTGTCAACTGTCTTGCAAAAACTGTTGTAAATGCTCACAAATTTTCACTTGATAAAGTTCGATCCACTATCTCCTTTCTGAAGCCTTCAAACTAATTTGAAGAATTTAGTCCTAAACTTAGTCAAAATTTTGGTGATTATTGTCTAACCAGACTTTCTGTTTAGCCTGAATCAATCCTCGGAACTCCTTGAGAAATTCAGATGCGAAGCCTCTTCAAGGCAAGAAAGCACCAACTTACAGAAAATCTATGGGAGTCAACGCTCTTAGGGATAAAATCGATCGTTATTATATCAATAACAAGTCCTTAGCTTTTGAAGACTGCATGAACTTCAGTGAAGATGAAGAGGTTGACCTTGACCCCCCTACCAAGAGATGGAACCTCATACAGAGTATCTTTGTCATATAACCTCTTAGAGTTTATCTGCAGTAAAAACGTGCCTGATTTCAGTGGTCAGATAGAGGAAATCTCTAGGCGTAGGCTTGTATGAATCAAATGTATAGACATTCATGACCCTGCATCCAGCCATGGCAAGAGGCGACGATACAAATGCAAGAAATCAAAGGCTCATGCCAATGCTTCCCTGAACATCCCTTTCCAGAACCAAGCCCAGAGATCATTTAGTAAACCTTTAAATTTTATAATTTAGTGATTCCTTGTTCGAACAATTTTAAAAAGGATATCCACTGCAAGATATTCGCCCCAGTCAGGAAAGGATCGACAGCTGCACATGTAGAGGACGATCAGAGGGAGACATCCTCCCTTCCTGACATTGAAACAGTGTCTGAACCTGAACACTGCACAAGTAGCATTGATGATAAAGAAATAACACAGAAAAATTCTTTGAAGGAAGAAGGACAGGAAACTGAGCAAAAACCCAAACAAAAAAAATCAAGGCCTTATATACTGTGTGGTTCTTTCTGTAGGAGGGTGAAGAGAAGGAAATTCTTCAAGCAAAGAGTAGAAAGCTCCAGAAACTCCTCCTTCATCATGCCAGATATTCATAGTCTGGGTAAGTTGATAGGCTTGTGAATCTGAAAATTTTCAACAATAGTATTATTCTGTTTATAAATTTTACTAAGACAAGTAAAACTCGCTAATTTATACAACACAACTTTTCATCCAGTCCTTGCTATGACCAATAACTCGGGTGACAAATTAAGACAATTCTCCTTATAATCTCACACGAATTTAGGACCAGTAAAGTTGAACTCATCCCAATACTCACAATCAAGTGAGCTTGGCAACCCAAAAGGCTTCAACAACAGAGCAATCAGGGAAGAATTCGCTAAGAAAAAGTTTGCCTCCTGCATCGACGAAGGATCCATCAACGAGCCAACGACTGACGAAGAAGCCTCCACCCCAAAATCTAAAGGAAAATATCTGAACCAATCAAGTAAAATCTGGAGCTCTTCAACCAACGAAGGTAGGATATTCCTTGACCATCTCTAGACCAGACAAATGTTTCAGATGGAAGCGAGAAGAACATTCTCTTCAAAAACTCAGTGAAACTACCCAATCTGACTCCAATCCCCAAAGTCCTAAAGAAGACTTACATCAATGAGCATTTCGTCCTCCTCGAGAAAGCCAAGAAAAAGAGGAAGCACCCCAAAGGTATTTTCTTGCCCCTAATTTTTAGTTAAAATAGGCAAAAATAACCTAAAGAGGAGCAAGAATATTTATAATATAAGCATGTGTCCAAAGAAGCAACTTGAGAAACGATCAGCCTCCCTTGTACCTCAAATGTAACATATGAAATAGAGGTCCTAGAGGGTGAGAATATAAATGTATGCACTCTGGTTGTGCTACCTCTAATCTCTTCCTAAAAATCCTTCCAAAACATCGTGTAGCCCAAAATTTCAACTAAAAAATACCCAAAAGGGGTTTTGGGGTTTTGGGGTTTTGGGGTTTTGGGG